AAAAAAAAAAAAAAAAAAAATTAGCCAGGTATGGTGGCACGCGCCTGTGGTCCCAGCTACTCGGGAGACTGAGACAGGAGAAGGCAGAGGTTGCAGCGAGCCAAGGTCGTGCCACTGTACCCCAGCCTGGGTGACAGAGCAAGACTTCATCTCAAAAAAAAAAAGAAGATGATCTGAATCAGAAAAAAAGAAGATGATCTTCAACTTGTGGTTTGAAGATGGAAGGAGTCATGTGACAAGGAATGTGGGGGATCGTAAGGAGCCGAAAGAGGTCTCTGGCTGGCAGCGGACAAATAAAAAGGGATCTCAGTCCTACAGTTGCAAGGAACAAGATTCTGCCAACAATCTGAATGAGATTGGATATGGACTGTCCCCAGGGCATCCAGAAAAGAGCCCAGTCAGGCCCACACCTTGATTTTGGCCTTGTGAGAAGCTAAGCAGAGGCTGGGCGCAGTGGCTTCACACCTGTAATCCCAACACTTTGGGAGGCCAAGGTGGGCAGATCACCTGAGGTCAGGAGTTTGAGACCAGCCTGGCCAACATGACGAAACTCCATCTCTACTAAAAATACAAAATCTAGCCAGGCGTGGTGGCACATGCCAGTAACCCCAGCTACTCCAGAGGCTGATACAGAACAATCGCTTGAACCCGGGAGGTGGAGGTTGCAGTGAGCTGAGATTGTGCCACTGCATTCCAGCCTGGGCAACAGAGCGAGGCTGTCTCAAAAAAAAAAAGGCTAAGTGGAGAGACCAGCCAAACCCACCCTAAATTCTGACCTATAGAACTGTGAACTAACAAAGGATATTGTTTTAAACCAGTAAATTTGTTAGAATTTGTTATACAACAATAGAAAACTAATAAAACCACTTAGAAAAAAGGCTATATTTGTATCTGAAAGAACCATGAACATAAAGAAAAATTTGGAAACAAAAGGTAAGACTAACTATTGTTAACTAATATAAAAATACTGACATAAAACTTCTTTTCCTTTTTTCTTCTTTTTTTTAAGAGACAGGATCTTGCTCTGTCGCCCAGACTGGAGTGTAGTGGAGCAATTATAGCTTACTGCAACCTCAAACTCCTGGCCTCAAGCAATCCTCCCCACTCAGCCTCCCAAGTAGCTGGGACTACAGGTGTGCTACTGCATCTGGTCCTAAAACTTATTTTCAATGCTTGTCTTTTAAACATTTCTGTAAATGCCTGTAATCCCAGCACTTTGGGAGGCCAAAGCGGGCGGATCTCCTGAGGTCGGGAGTTTGAGACCAACCTGACCAACATGAAGAAACCCCATCTCTACTAAAAATACAAAATTAGCCCAGCATGGTGGCACATGCCTATAAACCTAGCTACTCAGGAGGCTGAGGCAGGAAAATCACTTGAACCTGGAAGGCGGAAGTTGCGGTGAGCCAAGAGCATGCCATTAAACTCCAGCCTGGGCAACAAGAGTAAAAAAAACAACCCCTCCTATTTCTTTGCTTTTACTTTTTTATGTCTTCATTAAAAGCCCATGTTGAGATAGTGGGAAGGAGCTTGAAATGGACCAGAAAGATGTGAATTCAAATTCCAATTTTACAACTTACTCCCTGTAAGGCCTTTAACGTGATGTTTTGACTTTATCTTTCTCATCTATTAAATGTATAATAAGGCCTAACTGGCAGAATTACTGTGAAGATTTCAGATGACCTGAACAATTCCAGGTGCTTGATAATTAATAATAACTATTATTATATAACCAAAATAATTATTATAATAAATATAACCATTGATATTCACTCCCTTTAGCCAGCCTGTGGCTACCAGTGGTAATTCTCATATATCAGCCAGTGTTTATAGGTTTCCCTTCACCACCTGGAAGTTTTTTTTTACAGTTCTCCCCTCACCAGCCCAATGACAAGGCAAGTATTATTATTCTTCGGCTTATAAATAAGTCACTAAGGCTCAGAGAGGTTGAATGACTTAACCAGGATCAGAGAGGTTGAATGACTTAACCCTGAGAAACAGCGAAACAGAAAACAAACATGTCTGATGTCTCCAAGTGAGGTTGTTGTTTTTTTTTCCTATTTCACTGGCGAGCGCTCAACTCACACCAACGTGGTGCCTCAAGGTGAATTTCTTATCTTACAGTGTGTCACACCCAGGCTTTGGTTTAAGACGAAAGAATGATATGTATACTCACAGAACCATGGCCCTTGCTGTCAACAGTGGGCAGGGCGACAGGCAAGGCTGCCGGGGCAGGAGGGGTTACCGAAACTTCACCAGTTGGGTCTCTAGCAACGAGCATCCTGACTGAATTCCCACAGTTCCTTAGAACCTGTGCAACTTGCTCACTGGTCATTCCCTGCACATTTGTGCCACCAATCTTCAAGATGTGGTCCCCTGTCTGCAGTCTTCCATCCTTCAACCCAAGAAAAGACAAAATTATTTTGAGAAATCAATGCTCTAACTTCACCAGTTAATAACAATTCAGACTTTCAGCTCTCGCAAAATGGCTGACAAAGAAGCCACCTAAAATGCTGAATAAAATGGAACATTGTTAATAACTGGCTGAATTGGTGAGAATAAAGAAATTCCATGTAAAACACAAAGGAATGGCTCAGAATGAGAAAAGTAATCAGTATTCTAAAAAAGGCTTCTGCTTGAGGGTATAAGCTCATGCCTAATGGCCTAGAGCTAGGGTGTTAATGGCCCTGTGTGCACGGAAGAGGTCAGAAAGCTCAGGGCCTCAAGAAGGAAAGGTCAGCACAGAATTCTCCAGCATAAATCTGGGAACTTCAAAATTTAACATGCTCAGTGACACATTTGAGGAATAGAAAGATGCCAGTGTGGCTACAAGAAAATGAGGAAAAAGAATAGTCCGTGAGATGGGGGAGTTAATGGAGTCAGACAGTATAGGGCATCTTCTTTGCATGATTGGGGAGGGAAGGCACAGAGGAATGACATTACCTGACTGACTTTAAAACCATAATTCTAGCTTCTATGCTTAAAATAAACTACACAAGAGGCAACGATAGAAGCAAAGATACGAGTTGGGAGGTCTCAGCAATAATCCACAATAGCTTGGGTGTGGTTCACAGTTGAGGTGTTCAGAAGTGAGACCCAAGATATATTTTTAGTCAACTGTCAATAGGAACTGCAGATAGCTTCTATATAGGCTGTGAGGGGGGAAAGGACTCAAAACTCCAAGTTTTTAGCCTGAGCAACTGGAAACATAGAGTAGCCATGAATTGAGATAAAGATACAGAGCTGTTGTCTTAGATACTTATTAGACAGTAAAGTGGAGGTAACAGGTAGACAGCCAGATACACATCTGGAGTTCAGGGGAGAAACCCAGACTACGCATTTAAATTGAGGAGTTGGGGAGAGGTCAAAAAAAAAAAAAAAAAAAGCTTTGCAAGTCATTAGCACATATGAGGTATTTAAAGTCATGATTCTGCTGGCAGGGTGGCTCACACCTGTAATCCCAGCACTTTGGGAGGTCAAAGTGGGTGAATCTCTTGAGGCCAGGAGTTCAAGACCAGCCTGGCCAACATGGAGAAACTCTGTCTCTACTAAAAATACAAAAATTAGCCAGGTGTGGTGGCACACACCTGTAATCTCAACTACTCGGGAGGCTGAGGCATGAGAATCGCTTGAACCTGGGAGGCAGAGGCTGCAGTGAACCAAGATCACGCTACTGCACTCCAGCTTGGGTGACAGAGCAAGACTCTGTCTCATAAAAAATAAAAATAAAGTCATGATTCCGAATGAGTTGAAAGAAAGATACATAATGTTATGTCTTTTAAGCTAGGTGGTATGTATTACACACTGGTAATTATTGTTTTGGTTTCTTTTTGTTGTTGAGATAGAGTCCCACTCTGTTGCCCAAGTTGGTCTTGAAAACAATTATTGTTGTAATTATTATTTAAAATGTGCACAGATATTATATACATTCTTTTATATGTATGTATACTTCATACACAGAGGGTTAATAATAATTTATCAAAATGAGTATCTGCTCAAAATGTTCACTTCCCTTCTTTGTGAAATTTTTGAAACAGCTAATTTTTACAAAATTTTTCCTAAATTTGTTTAGTAAGAAATTTTGAATTCACTTTACTTATCTTTATTATAGTGTATTAAAGATACCACCATGTTAACATAGCTGGCTTTATTTACACTTATACATGCAGAGCACCTTGCAGGTTCAAAATGACTTTCATGTACCATCTCACTTAGAGAAGGACAACTTTCAAATGAGAAAATTGAGATATAAAAAGTTTGACTGTCTTGGCCAAGGTCACAAAGCTGAATAGGGTTGAACCAAAGTTGAATCCAAGTTGTTCACTGAAGACTATTCTCATTTAGTTATTTGCCTTATACTTCAATATCTCCAGAGTAATATTACTGTAGCAAGTCAATCTCCTACATGCAAAGGCTGCTAGTAGATAGTAAATTTACTGTTTTCCTGTTCCCCAAGAAACTGCCTATAACTCTCAAAAAGTTTGAATGAAATGAAGATGAAAAACAGATATTCTGCAACATAGAGAGAAAACTTGAGAACAGAGCAATGACTACTGGGTTAATCCAGTCCTAAGCTTCAAATTTCTAGTTCCAGGTGGCACCAGCTGCAAGCTAAAGATGAGATTCTGAAGGAAGAAGTCTTTTTAAAAACTCTTAGACTGAAAAATCTATTCTCCATCCTTCCTTTTCTCCAATTTTACAGGAACCTACGTGAAGGAATGCTTTAGACTGAAACAATGAGTACAAAGCTCTGTGTTTTGTTGTAAATGCTGCAGAAGGCACTGGAAGGGACTAGACGTGGAGAGAAGCACTGCAGCAGAAATGCAATTTAATTCAGAAACATCTGCAAAGACTTAGAGAACAGAAACAGATCCAAGGAGGACATTGTTATGAAAAAAGGAATAAAGAATGGCTGGATTTCCACTTGAATAATGATAATTTGATATTCTGTTTTCATCCACGCAACAAACTTGAAACAAAATAAGCAACTACTTAAGAGAAAGTCAGTGGTCCCGATGAAAAATAAGTATAAAGTTGCCTCTGTAAATCAAACTATTCTTCAACAGAATTATGCCATGATCGAAAAATAAAAAAATATGTCTAATAAGTGTTTTCATACTTGGCTTGGCTAAAGAAGGACATTTTATCATAAGGTATATTTTTAGTCACTTCCTAGGCATTATTTTCTTCTATTTTCCCTCAACTCTTAATTTAAAATGATGTAGATAATTTGCATCTGTCACTGAAAGTCAAACATTTTCTTCCTACAGAAAAGCAGGTGTTCTAAAGAATTCATAAGTACAAAAATAGTCATTAGTCAGATTGATAGAGAAACACCAAAATGACAGCTACCTTGTCTAAGTCCAGCAGCCCCAGACTGCATTTTATTGATATTTTCTGATCAACATTCTCCTTCCACAACCTGTCTTCTGTGTGAGGAAAGTGAAAGGCATAAAGTCCCTTTTGTTCTTTAACAGAAATCATCAATCAATGAAAACCAATAAATAGCTATGCCAAGATTCAAGTACATAGCATGCTAATAAAACATTCACATATAAAAGTTTATTAATCTATCGCTTCTTTCAAAAGAGAAAAAAACTACGCATATCTGGCCTCAATCTGATTCTTTGATAACACACCAAAACTTGACAAGTGGTGGTTTCTTATACAGTTACAATGTAGAACCTGGAACCATATCACGAGTATGGTGAAACCCCGCCTCTACTAAAATATAAAAATTAGCCAGGCAAGCAGTGGGCACCTGTAGTCCCAGCTACTTGGGAGGCTGAGGCAGAAGAATCATTTGAACCCAGGAGGCAGAAGTTGCAGTGAGCGGAAGTTGTGCCACTGGACTCCAGCCTGGCAACAGAGCAAAACTTCATCTCAAAAAAAAAAAAAAAAAAAAAAAAAAAAAAAAAAAAAAAAAAAAAAAAAAAAAAAAAAAAAACAAAAAAAAAAGAGCAAGCCTAAGACTGTTTTCCTTTGAAAGGCCTTCCCACAAGGTTAGCCCTTGGCTAACACCTGGGAGCTTAGATTCTGTGAGGGTTCTCACCATTCCCTGGTAAACATGGCTCCAGGCACCTAAAGTGTGGTTTCTCCTGAACACCTGCATTCTCCTGGAAGTCAAGGACGTCAGTATATGCCACACAGTGTGTGCCTACATGACCAGCATCCAGTAACAACACTGTGCACTGAGTCTCTGATGGGTTTCCATGGCAGACATTTCAGATGTGTGGTCATAATTCACCACTGGAAGATTTAAGCGTGTCCTCTATGGCTCCACGAGGAGAGGACTCGTGGAAGCTGGTGCCTGGTTTCCTCCAGACTTCACCTCATGCACCTTTTCCATGTGGATTTTGCTTTGTATTCTTTCACTGTGAGCTGTGCGCACACTGTCTGCTTAGTCCTATGAGTCCACCTAGCAAGTCATCAAACCTGGTGGTCTTGGGGACCATTTTAGAAGTAGGGAATTAAGCCAAGATGTCATTTTCCCAGAGAGAGGTGGATCCAGAATTCAAGCCTTCATCTGTCTGATTCAGAAGCTCACACACTATAATCCTATGCTCTCCTTTCAGAAGCTTATTTGGATGTAGGTGTGTTGAGAAGAATTTCTCCAAAGGTAGATCTAGAGAGGGTGTACACCACGTCTTGTGCCATAGCCTAGGTCCTGAGGGTGCTGCAGCTTAAGTCATTTCATGAGTTACAGCAAGCATAACATCTACTGGTGACAGGCGACAAATGAGGCAGGCCAAGGAAGGAGACACACGGATCACAGCAAGAAGGCTGAAGAGGTTTTATTTGCCGTCAGCTGATATGAGAGGAAAGGAGAAGTAAATACCGCTCTGTCCCCTGTGTCTGGCCTTACCATATGCCCTCTGTTGTTCCTAGAACTGACTGCCCCGTTGGTGGATGTAAACAACTGTGCAGAGGTATATATCAGGAAAAAGAAAACATCAGATTTGACTTTGGGTAAATTCAAACAACAAAGCTCAGACTTCAGAATCAAACAAATATGAGCTCAATCCCGACTTTGTCACTCACCTAGCTGCTGTAGGCTTGGGCAATTTCTTAATGGTTTCCATATCTATAATTTGGGAGTAAAACTTATAAGACTGTTTTGAAGGTTACATGGGAATAATGTACATTAAGCAGATAACAATGTCTGGCATAAGTACTTGCTTCTATTTGAGCACTTATGACCCTGCGACAAGCATACCCTCTACCTCCTCTTTGATGACCTGAAATAGTGACGATCCCTTCCAGTAAAGGGCGAAAATCAGACTTGGGCTTTTTCCAACAATGCCTCAATGGGATTAATCTGGGAAACTCTGCACATCTTATTCTTGTGAAAATTCATAAAGCACGTCAGTATTTTAAAAGCTCAGAAAATTCTTA